GCTCTCCAGAGAGAGGCCGGTGTTGGCATGCCCCATCTGGCCCCACTGGCCACACCTGTATAGCCAAAACTAAGAGGTGACAGAGCTGGTGGGTGTGGCAATGGCCATGGGGATGGGGCTGGCTGGTGTGACCAGTTCCTACTGGCCTAGCTCCCTCCCACTGGGCTAGTGACCACATCTGTCTCTCTGGCCCTGGCTACCTCCCTGTTCCTCTTCCTAACAATGGGTCAGTGTGAGCCAGACCTCCTGTGAACTGGGACTCTGGGAAAGGAAACAGTGTGGTTCCTGCCCTGTGGGGCCCCTCCAAGTTTGATGGAAACAAAGTGGAATAACAAGTTAGATCTTGGTGTGAAACCCGATCCCAAGGACTTCCTGTGTGTTAACCTTGAACAAAGATTTATTTCTTTTTCTTATTTTTTTATTTTTATGGATATGACTGTTTTGCCTGCATGTATACAAGTGTACCATGTGCATGCAATCCCTGTGGAGGTCAGAAGAGGGCGTTGTATCTCCCAGAACTGAAGTTACAGGCCGTTGTTAGCCACCATGAGGGTGCTAGGAAATCAGGATCCTCTTAACCATCTCTCCAGCTCCCTTATTTACTTTTATTTTCTGTGTTTGAGTGTTTTGTCTGTATGGATGTAAAATGTGCCATGTCAGTATGATGCCCACGGGGGCCAAAAGAGGGCATTGGATACCTTGGAAGTAGAGATATGAAAGGTTGTTAGCTGATGCAGGTTCTGGGAACTAAACCCAGGTCCTTTGTAAGAGCATAACTGCTGAGCCACCTCTCTAGTCCCTCTTTTTAAAACTTTTTAAAAGATCATTTTATTTTTAATTATGTGTGTGTCTGTGTCTGTGTGGGTATGTGCTCATGAGTACAGGTGCCTGCAGAGGCCAGAGGAAGGCATCAGACCCTCTGGTGCTGGAGTTAGTGGTGGTTGTGAACCAACCCAACATGGGTGGTGGGAAATCTCTCCAACCCCGGGTTTCTTTCTTTTCTTCACTTTTTGAGACAGGGTCTCATGTAGCCCAGGCTAACCTCCAAATTGCCAAGGATGACCCTGAACTCATGATCTTCTTGCCTCTTCCTCCTAAATGCTGAGGTTAGAGGGGTGTACTGTTGAACCTAGCTTCAGGGTTTCTGAATTTTATTTTCTTGCCTACTAGCAAAAATGTTTTTGTGTGTGCTCCTATGCATGCAATTCCATCCCCAGTTCTGCAAACAACAAAGTTATCTTGGGGTTGGGGAGATGGCTCAGTTGGTAAAGTGCTTGCTCTACAAGCGTGAGGACTTGCATTCAGTCCCCAGCACCCATGTAAAAGGCTGTGCTGTGTGTGTTGGTGTGTGTGTGCATATGGTGGCCAGGTGTTTTTCATCACTCTCTACCTTGTGCTTTTGTTTCTTTGTTTGGTTGGTTGGTTTTTGAGACAGAGTCTTCCTGTATCCCCAGCTGGCCTGGAACTCTCTATGTAGAACAGGCTGGTCTTGATCTCACAGAGGTCTGCCTACCTCTACCTCCCGAGTGCTGGGATTGAAGGTGTACGCAACCATGCCTGGCTAAAGATTTATTTTATATTGAGGTTGGGGATTTAGCTCAGTGGTAGAAATCTTGCCTAGCAAGTGCAAGAACCTGGGTTCAGTCCTCAGCTCCAAACAAAAAAAAAGATTTATTTTATATTGAGGTTAGCCTAGTATGTGCAGGGTGTGGTGGTACATGCCTTGAGTCCCTTGCGAGGCAGAGGCAGGCAGATCTCTGGGAGTTCAAGGCCCTCCTGGTCTACATATAATAAGTTCCAGGCCAGCTGGAGCTACAGGGAGACCCTGTCTCAAAGACCAAAAAAATTATGTGTATATGTATGCCTGTGAGTGTGTGTGTGTGTGGGTGCCCACAGAGGTCAGAGGTGGCAGATCCCCCCGTGTAGCTGGAGTTACAAGTGATTGTGGCCTGCCCAATGTGGTTGCTGGGAATCAAACTCAGTAGTGTGTGCTGTTAACCACTGAGCCATCTCCCCTGCCCTCATAACAGTTATTTAAAAAGAAAAGAAGAGGGGCTGGAGAGGTTACTCAGAGGACCAGGGTCACCCTCTGTCACCCTCCTCAGGCCTTTTCAGCATTTTATACAGACTAGTAAACATACCAATAATCAAACACTTGTATAAATAAAAGTAAATTATTAAAAAAAAAAAAAGAGGGGCCAGGTGTAGTGGCACAAGCCTTTAATCCCAGCACTTGGGAGCCAGAGGCAGGCAGATCTCTATGAGTTCAAGGCCAGCTTGGTCTACATAGTGAGTTCCAGGCCAGCAGGCTGGGGCTACAGGGAGACCCTGTCTCAAACAAAAGATCTAGGGATGTAGTTCAGGCAGTAGAGTTATTTGCCTAGCATACATGAAACCCTGGGTTCCATCCCCAGCATCATATAAACTAGTTGGTGGTCCAAATTTATAATCCCAGCACTCAGGAGGTATAGCCATGTGGATCAGAAGTTGGAGGTCATCCTGAACCACACTGCAAATTCAAGACCAGCCTGGGGTGCATGAGACTCTGTCTCAAAAACTCAAACAAAAACCTGAATCTGCTGGTACAGGCCTGTTTATCCCAGCACTCTGGGAGCTGAGGCAGGAGGATCATGAGATTGAGGCCTGTTTAAGATACGTAGAGTTGTCGGTTATGGTGGTGCACGCTGGTATGATATGCTGAAGATACATAGAGTTTTCCAGGCCAGCCTAGAATACAGAGGAAAATCTTGTCTCAAAAGGAAAAATAAGCTGGGTGTGATGGCGCACCCCTTTAATCCCAGCACTTGGGAGGCAGAGGAAGGCGGATCTTTGTGAATTCGAGGCCAGCCTGGTCTACATAGTGAGTTCTAGGACAGCTGAGACTACAAGGAGACCCTGTCTCAAAAAGAGGAAAAAAAAAAGGAAAAGTAAGGGCCTGGAGAGATAGCTCAGTGGTTAAGAGCTCTGGCTTCTCTTGCAGAGGACCTTTGTTCAGCTCCCAGCATCCACATGATGGCTAACAACCAGCTGAAATTTTAGTTCCAGGGAATCTGATGCCCTCTTCTGACTTCTGAGGGCTTTACATGACTCGGGTGCACTTAAATACATGCAGGCAATACACTCACGCATATAAAATATAATAAAAATAATAAATTATATCTATTTAAATATTTTATTATTTTTATTTTGTATGTATGAGTGTATTGCCCAAATGTATGTGAGTGAACCCGTGTCGTGCAATGCAGCAGAGGTCAGAAAGGGCTTCAGAGTCCCCTGGAACTTGAGTTAAGGATGGTTCATAGATGCCATGTGGGTGCTGGGAATCAAACCTGTGTCCTCTGCAAGAGCAGCCAGTGCTCTTAACTGCTGAGCCATCTCTCCAGCCCAATAAATTATATTTTTTTAAAAAAGGAAAAGTTGGGGCTGGAAACATGGCTCAGCGGTTAAGAACACTGACTGTTCTTGCAGAAGACTGGGTTGGAATCCCAGCACCCACATGGCAGCTGACAACTGTCTGTAACTCCAGTTCCAGGGGATCCAACAGCCTCTTCTGACTTCCATGGGCATTGCATTCCATAGGCATTGCACTTACATACATACAAGCAATATATCATACACATAAAATCAAAATAATAAATGAAATATTTTTAAAAAGGAGGTGCTGTAGAGATGCTTCAGCAGTTAAAAACACTGGTTGTTCTTGTAGAAGACCCAGGTTCAAATCCCAGAACCCACATGGCAGCTAACAACTGTCTGTAACTCCAGTCCCAGGGGATCTGACAGCCTCTTCTGACCTCCGTGGCCATTGCACGACACAGATGCACTTACCTACATGCAGGCAATACATGCATACACATAAAAATAATAATTTTTTTTTAAGAAAAGGAAAAGTAAAAAGAGGAGGGGGAAAAAAAGTAAAGTAAAAAGCAAGCTGGGATATTGCTCAGTGGCAGAGTTCCTGCCTAGAATCCCCCAGTGAGGGGCTGGGGTGTGGCTCAGTGGTAGAGCCCCTGCCTAGAATCCCCCAGTGAGGGGCTAGGGTATGGCTCAGTGGTAGAGCTACTGCCTAGAATCCCCCAGTGAGGGGCTGGGGTGTGGC